CCCCAAAACCCCAAAACCCCAAAACCCCAAAACCCCGCAAGATTTCATTTGATTTAGATTGGAGTATGAAGAAGATAATATTCTACATGATTCATAATAAAATATAAAACGCTGAATACCTAAATTTTTAGGGCAATTGAGATTGTGATTAATTATTACTTATTAATTGTAAACCTACTATTACTCAACACTTTGTCATCATTTTACTAAGTATAATACATCAACCTTCGAAGTGCCTCTAAGATTTATTAAACGAATAATTGAAACCAAGAGAACCCTCAAATGCCATGACACTTTTAATGATTAAAAAATAAAGATTAGGGGATATGAATTAGATAATCTTGAGTGGCACTGTTAATCTTCCTTCAAAAACTGATTACTTAACATAATTCATAAAAAAAGAAGTATTCATCCCCTCTCATTAGAACTTTTAGTCTCTAATCGAAGGCTATTAAAGTACCATTATTATGATTGCTGTTGTCTTAGTTACATAATCTTTTAACATGCAGATAGTTTACGCCTCAATGGAGTATGAAACGAATTAAAAACTTACAAGAGATAAAAATATTCTCATAAGACCATTTTTGACTTCTAAGCTTGCACTTATTGTTGAAAAGGATTTAAATAGTCCTTAAGATAACAAAGCTATGCTTGAATTACTCAAGGAATATCTTCTGGTGATTATAGAATTCTAATTTATAGGGAACGGTAAATAGATTAAAGAGCGATAAAGCTGAATAATGAAAGTTTAATTTAGAATAGACTCTTTGTCTAATTCCTAACTAAAATATAAGAGATCGTTTAAAATGATATATAGAGCCCTATTAATGACAATGAATTATGAAATTAGGTTGAAATTCCAATTTTGATTCATGTTTTTTAGTTTTATTTAATTAAATGATAATATTTTAATTAATCTTTATTTCATTACTACAACTATTCCTAATCTGTAGATGTTTATGCAATCCTTGTTACTTTGTAGATAAATGAATTGATTTCAATTGGCTTTGACAGCTCCTATCCTATCTCTTCGACAACAAAATTGTACTCTTTAAACTAAACTAATAGTTCTTTATGTACATTCTAAATTCTTTCTATATAGCATATGTAAAATACAAGATCTTGGTTCCTTTGAAATAATATCTAATAAAAAGTTAATTTGACTAAATCTTACATCAAGAACATTCATTAGGGGTTTGATTGAGTTATTCCAGTATACAATATCTGAACCAATCACGAACTAGAACTGAGTATTACTTAGCTTCATCTTGGTCTCGCCACTCCCATCGTAGACCTCACATTCATCGAAATAACTGTCTTCACTGGATTTACACCAATCCAATTTCACTGCTAACTTTTGGCATTCCTTATTTGATGGTTCACTATCTCTGATATTTGTCTTAATCAAGTCCATTACTAAATCTTAGTAATCAGAAAACACTACCTGAGATGCATAATGCTGAGATATCAATCCACAAAGACCTGGGCCTGATCCTAGTTCTAAAATATTTGGCTTTATAGGGGCGAACACTTCTGGTCCTAAGGTATCAATGATGTATTTAGATAAAATATCTGCAGCCTTCCAAATTATTTAGCCTGTCAAATCATAGTCAGTTGATGATGTCTTCAATGCAAATATTGTCTGCTTTATCTCCTTATATTCAAACTTGATTTCTTAATAGTCTGTGTCTGTAAACAGGGACACAAGTTAATCTTCCTCCTCTCCATCTAGCATCGACTATTGCATTTAAGTTTGTTCCTTCTATTTTTCAGGCTCTGAGCTATTCTCCATTATATAATACTTTTAATTATTATAATTATTTTATTAGTAATGAGAGAAAATAATACAAGAGGCTATGAGTCGATAATAAACTCAAACGCAGACTTTAACGCTCACATGAAGAACAAATCCTTCAGAATGAACTTCATGCACAACCAAAAGAACAAAACTCTCTATACATCATTCCTTACTCGGCTCTCCTCAAACCAAGCTCCTCAGAGAAAGATCCACACAGAGAATAAATCTTAGAAGCCAAATGGCAATAAAGAGCCTAAAATGAAGAATTAAGACACCAGTCCTTTGAAGTTCGACACCAATCATACCTAGCAAACACCGATCAATCCTAATAATGATCTGCTTCGTTTAACTCTTGAAAGCACAGGGAGTTATGTGGAAGTTTGAAATGCAAACTAGCAGGTAGACGAGGACTTAATGCAGGTCAGTATAGATGACTATCAGCAGCCTTCAATAATTAAAATTGGATTAGTTAACAGCAATGACAATGAAACACAAGAACAGTAGTAAAACAAGCAGAGATAGTTATCACCTCATTTCAAGGCAAGTGAAGAGTCATTTTCTAATATTTAGAATCAGAAAAAGAAGCAGTATAAAAGTAGACACAGTGAAAAAGCTTTGGAGCATTTAGAAAAGCAATCAAAGAAAGTTAAGTTAAGGAATTTAATTGTTTAAAAGGCTCAGAAAATCAACAAAAATCTTTTACCCTCACTACTTATAAATAACCCTTGCTTTGAGATGTAGTATCAAGAGTCTACTTACTCACCTGAGTAGAGATACATAAACTACTAGAGATGCTTTAGACTTAAAAAGAGTCTAGAAGAGTAGCAATTGGAAGAGGCAAGAGATGAGCTTTAGCATATCTCCAGGACAAACAGCATTAAAAAGTTCATCTAGCATGGCAATGCAGTTTTCATGAATAAATCTTATCAGACTATCGATAAATACGATGATAGTCAGAATAATGATGGCATTAGCAGTCCTACAAGGAAATCAATCCAGATAGGGAATGCTTCCTACAGAAACAATCAGACTTTCTCAGCCGAAAATATTCACCAAAATCAGAGAGAGCTTTGGGAGTTTGTACATAATGAACCTGAGCCCAACTATAAAAAGATAATAAGCGACATCACAAACAAAGTCGGGAATAGGTACAGACAGAGTCAGAACAGTAATCTATTCTCAAGTTAAGACAAACTCTATGAAATTAGGAATCTGTATCAGAGTCGTGACCATAACAACACTATATATGAGGATCTGCCTTCTGCAAATGACTTGGGACTAAACATTAAGTATAAAAGTCATCAGCCATACGATTCTCTCGATAAGAAATCAACTAACTCTTAGACTTAAAGTCTAAATTATATGTAAATGATATAGAAGTATATTAATGTAAGTTATAGAATGAGGAATAACAATAGTTTATAAACAACAAGTAATTTCAAAGCAAACCTGAATGTTAAGCATCCTCATTTCATTAGAACGTAAGTAAATTTTTAATTTTATGATAGTTATTTATATAGGATACTTGAACCCATTCATCAGATCTAGGAGACTAAATAAAAGACTGAATAGAAATTGTAAAAGTTAAGCAATAAGCTTATTGAGAGATCATAATAAAGAAGGTTTTACGCTCTACTTATGAGCCAATAAGGGAAGTAGGAACAGCAGCTGTTTAGAAATCCAGTACTAAATCAGGCATATTAATCTTAGCCTCTAAATTAAAGCTACGATTAGCCGCCTTTGAAGTCTCAGAAACTCAAAGATAACAGCACTGTATGGAATGCCCTTATTGAAACACATCGATCATGAATAGTGCCCATCCAGACTCCTTTAATTATAAACTACCTGTCTGTTAATTGAAACAGATTTTTGTAATAAATAGCAAATATATAATGATTGATTTAATAAATAAGCATATCAGTCATATTTATTGAACGGGGTTTTGGGGTTTTGGGGTTTTGGGGAGATCGGAAG